GCTGAACAGGCCAGAAAGGATTTGAATTGCAGAAGAAGAGTTATACTTATAGGTGTCACGGATGAGGTGGAGGAGAGCCAGACATTAGAGTGGGAAGGTGAGAGCTCGGAAGACATCCCAACTTTGCCGTAAGCTGAGCAGTGATTTTACCCACCACCCATTATGCATTCAAATCAATGTGTAACCTTGGCGTTTGTCATTTTATGGTATTACATTGGTAAAATTGGTAAAATTCTGGAGCTGGAAACAATTTTCAGCATGTTGATCTTCAGACTGGGCTGTAGTTATAGCCAATTCGATAAGTCAAGACAGATTCTTCAGGATTATGGAGTCCATCATTGTAGCAAATCAAGTCAATGCCACTGATATGGGAGAAAAGAATAAGGTCCTCTGGAAGGTGAGAGCTCTCTTAAAAAGACTGCACAATGAGGCTGCATCAGTCTGCTGAGATGAAAAACCTGTGTAGATAAACTTGTGTTTTCCTTTTCTCACGACTTCATAGCCCTGGCTTGTTATCCATACTTACACTATCTAGCTTAAAGCTGTCCCCCTCTCCGTTTTTTCCCTCCTTTTTTAATAAAAAAAAGGTCAAGATGGTCGAAAGGTAATTTTTTAACTATTAAAAAAGTAGACTTTTTTAAAATGTATATTTATTTGACTTTTTTTGTCATAAAGCTTCTTTTTCTTGTTATTTAACTGTATAACTATGAAAAAATTAATTGAGCTTCTGATCCTATGTTGCTCATTGCTGCTTAGACCTGTACTTTTAATTGCAATCTTTGTTTTTACAGTGAAGCATACAGAGGGCTGAGTCTCGATCCGTGTCATGAGGGATTATGCTGTGTGGGTCATTTTGCCGTTAGGGTTCGGGGCAGCTTCGTCACTGTTGTTGTTTAGAACAGAGATTCTCAGACACTTTTTCTTTCACTTCAGAAGCTGAGAAAAGTTAATCCCGCTCCCTAATGTTTTAATCACTCCATAACAATAAGAAGGATTTAAATGTAAATCCTACATAAATACATGTCATCACAATGGCATTGGCAGAGTTGTTTATTTTTCACCTGTTCATGCACCACACCTGCTGTGGCTCCACATCCCACCAAGGATGAGTAGAAGTGTGTGACACCACAAAAGCAATGCAAAGCTCTTTTGATTGATCATCTTTATCATCTGATATAAATCTATCTTAGGGTGACTGGTGTCTTTGAGAATGCTAGTTACTTCATTGTTGGAAATCACTGAACGATGTCAGAACAAAAAGGGATGTGAGTCATATGCTGGGCCGTCGCAGTGGCAATCCAGTCGTACACCTGTGGGACACCTGCTTCTTTGGTGGTACATTGTGGCTCAAACTCTTTGTCACTTTTGTTTATTTCAGTTCATCACACAAGATGTGCACAGTCTGTTAGATTTAAATAAAATGTTTGCCATTTATTCTACTAAAGATTCCTGTTTAACCATCACCCACCATGCAGGCATCCCGTGTTAACGTATTTCTGTTATTAACTTTGGCAGGTTTACAGTTAATTTTTAATTAAGTTTCTTGGCTCACCACATTTTAAGCTCCTTGCTTTTTAACAGGATTCGTCATTGGTCCATTATATGAGTTATCAAGTCAGAGTCACTTATGTTAATACCCAACTGATGAACCTGTTATGACCGTAACTGTAAGCAAGTCATTTAAAATGGAAGAGAGCCTCCGGCAAATTACGGTTTTATTGACTGCCTCGAGTCACAAAGGATCAGAAACATTCATAAATACTTTCCCATATGAGTGTATTCAAGTCAAAGCAGGTTTCTCCAGTGGTGGTTATTCTAATTATGAAGAAAGTTTCCACTGAGTAGAAGTTTTATTTTATTTTATCATAGTTATACAGTTAAATAACAAGATAAAGAGTTTATTAAAGTTCAAAGAGGAAAAACACGGTGTCAGATGAGAGTATAGGTAAACTTAACCCCCCCACACACACAGACACACACACATACACAAAAACATGTCACAGCTTCGCACAGTTGAACTTCTGCCCACAATTTAATCCCATGTCATTGTTCTCCAGGCACGCATTCATCAGCACTCAAAACTGTCATAAAGCATTGATTCATCCCGTTTAAGAGGAACAGGAACTATGTGGAAAAGGTCTTCGAAAAGGGATCAGTTTTGTTTATTGTGAAGTGAAAATGATGAGAAGGGCTTTTAAAGGAGAGATTTATAACAAAGCAGACCTGCACTTGTAACTTTTCTACTGAGAGTGAAGTAAAGGTACAAACTGATTTTGTGAACAGCTGCCAATCATTACAAGAGTTTCCCTGTCACCGTCAAACATGAGCCTGATGCTACAGCACCATCTTGTGGAAACACTCATAGGGATTTTTCCATAGACTGCTCAACTGCAGGAATTCAGGTATGCATGTTTGCCAAAGCAAGTATATTCAGAAACGTGTCAACAGACAATTATCAGATCTTTAATTTACTTCCTATACCAAGCTAGCAAGATAAGGCATCTCACATTTCTTCTGCATATGGACAATGTACACAATATACCCATATTTTTTTGTAGCTCAGGAGGTAGAACAGGAAATAGGTGGTTTGATGCATGACTGCTCCCAGTTTGCAGGCCAAATCCTCTTGGGCCAATCTCAAGTTACTCACAGATGCATTCATTTGGGTGTGAATGTGTTTGAAGGTTAAATAGAAAGCACACATAGAAAAAAAGGCATAGAAAAATGTTCTTGTGTGAACGGATGTGAATGAGTAAAGGAGGCAAGCTGTATGTAAGAACCAATCTATTTAATATTCAGTTGTCTCAAGCAAACTATTCTCTTGTCTTGGTATCAACACTTTAATATCTCAGAAAAGCTTGTCCATACACACCTGCTGCTAACAGTAAAAACAGTCCCACTGCTCACTGTGGGAAAATATGTTCAAATACACAAAACAGTACATTTATGGGTGCAGCACAGTCCGGTAGACACTTCCAGAAATAAGAGCTTTGCTTACTTGCCTACTGAAGCATGATAACCACTTTTTGTCTGGTAATGTTTAACTTGGCAGAGATCAGGCAGGTTTCAGCCTAGAGCTGAGAACCAAAGTGCCGCACAATTATGTGTAATTTATCTATTAAGTTATACAGTGAATAAAATGTATTCACAATCAATGTCCCTACTTCAAAAAAAAAAAAGAAAAAAAAAGAATAAACACGTAAGAGAAAAGATTCGCTGACAATGCCATATAATGTACATATAGGCTGCTTATCTTAGATTTCTTTTTTTACAAGTATACAGTACAACACACAGCCATCTGTCCACTTCGACACATTGTGAATCAGTTTTACCTGTGTTGGTGTTGGGCTGTGAGCACAGGTCCCAATTAAAGCTATCAGGACTTTTTCCTGATGTCTCAAAAAGAGCTCACAAGTAGCTCACTGGGGGTGATTTGTAAGACTCTGGCAGCACTGCTTCTGTTCCTCCTTGAACAGAAAAGGCTGTTGTGCCACAAAGTGATCATCTGTCAAGAAGTAAATACTGGTATTTGTTAAAAAGTATATAAAAATGAGTTGTTGGTATTTAAACTATTGTGAATGACTTGTTGACCTATAATCCCTCAAACATATATCACATGAATGGTACCAAAATAATTTTGAGCCAGAAACGATATCTCTGCTAGATGCTGCCCACAATCAGTTTTTGGCAAAGGACATGTCTTTCATTTATTCAGGTAAAAGGTCTCATTTATATTTAAAATGCATTTTTATATACAGTGATGTGTCCAAGTGTGTTGCAGCAGAAATTGCAACAAATATAACATAGAACAGCTCTACAAATATATTTCAAGTTGCCCAAAAGGATTGGATCGATTATGATGTAGAATGCAGAGTAGATCAAATAGTGCAGATTTGTGAGGATACCTATGACAAAACAGGTAATTTCTTTATTTTATCCTGGATAAATCATGCTGAATATTATTTACCAATATAAATAACAACATTATAAATAAAAAGCAAATTCAATATTTGGCAGTAACTTTTTGGCAGATCATCCAGCTGCTAGGTCGATGCCCTACTATGTTCCTGTCCAGCTTCTTGTGCAGCAGTCGGTCTCCTGGTATCTCCTTCACAGTCTTAAGATTGCACTGGGGGACACAGCAAACCTTGTTGCAGTAGAATGTATGGATGTAGCATCCTAGAGGAGCTGGACTAACTTTGCTGGCCATGCAAAGCCATGACGAGGACAATAATAAAAACAAAACTCGAGAAAAAATAGCCAGTGGGCATCGCCTGCCTGTTCAAAATCAGAATCCTTTGTTGACATTAAATATCAGATGTTCAAAAAGATTAGAAGCTGCTCCTTCGTAGCAGCATTTAGAATAAATAACAATGAAAACAAATCCAAAAGTACCACCATATACACATGTGTAGTGATGTGTGAGAAGTACTGATGTGCAATTTGTACAGTAATGGCTTGTGAAAAGAAAATGTGTTTCTGAGGCTGTTAATCGTGGTTTGGACGGACCTGTAGCGCCCCCTAGAGGACAGCAACTCAAACAGGTGACCTCTGAAGCCTCTTCCACTGAGCCTGGGTGCAGTGAGTGAACCACATATGTAAAGATGCTCTCAATGGCTGAACGATAGAAGGTCACCAGCAGCTTCTCAAAGATTTTGTTCCTCCTGAGCACTCCCAGGTAGTGCAGAGCTGACCTGATCCCCCTTTTCAGCTCAGGTGAGTGGAGAAGAGAGAGATGGTCAGACTGGTCTAGGTCTGGGAGCTGTGTGGCTCTCTTATGTTGCCTGTGTGTAAATGCCTCCCCCTGTTGTCATACATCTTACATTGTGTTAGAATGTAGGCAGGAAAGACTGGAGGTTTGCCTGATTAAAATCAACCGTGATAATGGTGTGTCCCTGTCCTAAAGGGGGGGTCCTTGTTGCCGCTCCAGTGCACCTGTTCTCACTTTAATTTGCTCCAAATCAGGTGAAACTGATTCACGTTGCTTTATGTTTCTTAACTGGACAGACTGGTATTTCTGGTGTTCAACTAACTTTGTGTTATAGTGTGGTTACCGAGTCTTCCTCTTTTTTTCTCCCTAAACTGTTTACATTTCATCTATAAAAACTCATGTAAACTATTTGGAACGTCTGCGCTTTATTTTGTAACAGTGTGCTTTTCTTTTCGTTTCCTATTAAGTGAAAATATGCTTGACATTTTAAAGACAGGCGAAACAATTTGGCTTCAGCTCGACCCATCTCCTGAATTATGTAATAGTTGTAAAAGACCGCCTACCCTTTCTTTTGCTATGTGGCCATTTACGACTGGTGGACAGGAAAGGGCAGCTGAACGAAAGTCGCCACTCGACCAGAATCAACTCAAGCCTAATTTTAAACGCTAAAAGCTTCATTCGCAGTATGTAACTATGTCTTTGGAACCCTGTGAAGAAACTGCGGAACACTCCGCTTTGCTCAAGCTCCTCTCTGCACTGTTTTATGCCGGAAGTTCGTTTCTTATTACTGTAGTGAACAAAACCGTGTTGACAACTTTCAGGTAGGTGTCGCTTTGTAGGGATATCACTAATTTATTCATAGTCGAAGGACGGAAGCAAAAAAAAAATTGTTAAGTTCACAGATAAAGGAAGCTTGTAATAATAGCTTATTCTCTGTTGTCGAGTTATATTTAAGAGTTCTGCTTTTTGTGTGTTGACTTTGCAGATTTCCCTCCTACTTGTGTCTGGGAATTGGACAGGTATGTTGTCCAGGTGCGAATACCTCCCACCCACACTCCACTAATAATAAACAAATACAAACTCATTTTATTGTCCTTTCAGATGATCACCACTGTTATTGTTCTTTATGCGGCCAAAAAGAGCAAAACGGTGCAGTTTCAAGATTTCGACAAGAATGTTCTCTTAAAAGTAAGCACCCTCACCCCATTATCATATCTCCATTTATTCTTTTTTAAATGTATTTTGTGATCTATAAATCTTTTTGTTTGTTATGCCCAGATTTTCCCCCTCCCTTTGCTGTACGTTGGGAACCATGTTACAGGCCTGGCAAGCACCAAAAAACTCAGGTTTTTACCAGTTCATTTGCATCACATTTAGTCCTTAAATTTAGTTAAGATTTTCTCAGTACTCATTTATGCAGTCTTCCTGAAACTGTGTTATCTGTTACAGTTTACCCATGTTTACAGTTTTGCGGAAATTCACTATATTGATGACAATGATCTTGGAAGCGTATATACTAAGGTAAGGAATTATTCTAACTATGTATTACTGTACTGTTAGAGCCTTGAAGCACTCTAGGGCCTTATCTCATCTGATTTGGTCTGAAATTTCTTAAAGTACTTTACTTGAAGAGGTTTCTAATGGATTTGTTAATGGAGTTAAACAATGTGAGAGCTTTCAGTGTAGGATGTGAGATTAAAAAAAAAAAAAAAGATTTAACAATGGAAGTGCCCATTAATGTATGCCTGTTTTGTCCTCTTTATCTCCATTTTCAGAAAAACATTTCCAAAGCGTCTTGTGTACAGTGTTGTAACCATAGTATTTGGTGCTATGATTGCTGCAAGGTATAGTTTTGCTTTTTGTTTTTATTTAAATTACTTTTGTAATTGTATTTCTCCATGAACTGCAAAAACAAAGTAGACTTTACCTCCATCTCTATTGTCTCCTATAGTTCAGACCTGGCCTTTGATGTGGAGGGCTATACATTCATCCTGCTTAATGATGCATTCACTGCTGCCAGTGGAGTGTACACCAAGAAGAAACTTGGTGATAAGGTAGGATTTCCTGTTCCGTAGAAAAACAGAGACAATTTGAGCATTGCTGCCTTAGTAGATATATCTCTGTCCAGGTGTTGTTTGAAGAAAAAAAAACAAAAAACAATTTTACTGCACAGCTGTGCTGCCAAGAAAAATGGGGGCACAACCATCCAAAGCAATGCACAGTGAAGGAGAGTGTGCGGGCAGAGTGGATTGGGTGGAGACACGTGTCAGGTGTGATTTGTGTCAGAGTTGGAGCTACAGGTGGGACAGCTGAGCAGTGTGCAAACCAAGTTAAAGAAGCAAGGCTGAAATTGTTTAGACATGGGGGGGAGGAGGGTGGATTTATCTGGACAAAGGATGCTGAAGATGGAGCTGCTAGGCAGAAGGAAAAGATGAAGACCCCAGAGAAAATTCATGGATGTAGTAAAGAAGGATATGCAGAGGGTTGATGTGACAACGGAGGATGCTAGGAGTGGAGGTAGATGATCTGCTGTGGTAACCCCAAGGTAACAGCTGAAAGAAGAAGAATATTAGAAAAGAAAGCTGAGCATTATCTTTTTAAACAACAAAACAGAAGGTTTTAGTGTCGTTCACGAATATCCTTTGATCATGGCAGCTCCACACTAGCAGCGTCTTTATATCTAAAAGCAGAATCGTGGGATTTGCACATTTTTTAACCTTTTTTTTTTTAATGCATAGTGATGCGAGCATCTAATGACGCATGTGGCTCACAGGAGTAAAATGTTAACGTTCTCAATACTTTGAAATGTCCCTATTGCATAACAGTGTTTGCTGTTTACATTTGTTTTCCTCCTTTTTGTCAAGGGTCTTGGGAAGTATGGGGTCCTGTTTTACAATGCATTAATAATTGTCATTCCTACTGTCTTGGCAAGTGCGTTTACTGGAGATTTACACAAGGTAAACTGTGATCAGGTGCATTATCGCTATTTATTGTTGTTTTTTGGTTTTCTGTGCCAGAAACTGTATTCTGTTACCACCCTTTATGTTTTGATCCACAGGCAGTCACATTTGAAGACTGGGTGAAAGGCACATTTGTCTTTTGTTTCCTTATTTCATGCTTAATGGGGTATGTCACTATAATCCAGTCCAAACTGTTCAGTTATTGTAGAAATCAAACTTCCTTGAGTCGGTCATTCTATATAAAATTGATCAAAGATAACTAGGATGTGATGAAAATTATTCTGACACAGAAGCGGAGATGGCTAGGGGGTGAATATGGTATGACTGTAGCTAAAAAAGAGACTAAGTTGAAAGGGCATATGTTCTACCCACCCTTCCGTATATTTTGAGGGCCTATAACTTGGAAAGTATTCATAGTGTGAAGGCAGAATTTCGTTAACCTTTATTAAACACACTAAAATATTTGCACAAATAAAAACGTTGTTGAATCTGAGGGTGTTGAGTTGACGATGGAATGGCCCAGATGTTAGATCGCTGTTCAAAGCTGTTTTGCTTTTGCCCTAATTTTCTTTAGGTTTGTGCTGATGTATTCCATCGTCCTCTGCAGCCATTATAACTCAGCACTTACAACCACAGTAGTTGGGGCAGTAAAGGTAAGAGCACACTGATATTAGTTTGTTTTTTTTATTGTACAAAATCCAAATATTAAGAGTTCTTTGAAAAATTGTTGACTGAAATCCACAGCAAAAAATTTCCTCCTTTTTTCTTGACCCATGGTGATGGACAGGTGGAGGGATTTACTTAGATAGTTGTTGTTTTTTTTCCTTATTTCCAACACAATGATACTAAAGTGAACAAAATTTCACCTTTTCCTCAGAATATTGCAGTGGCCTATATTGGCATGTTTGTGGGTGGAGACTACCTGTTCTCTTGGACTAATTTCCTAGGCCTCAGCATTTGGTGAGTAATAAGACTTAAATGCTATTTTCTGTTCCTGACTACAGAGTTAAGCGTGACTCTATAAGAGGCCATATTTCTTCAAAAAGTCAAACAGTATGCTATGTTGAATAAGAACAGCAATCTGGCTTGGGAAGGATTTTAATCTAGAGCAAAATATTGATTGAAAGTGAAGATTAGGCATTCTCTGATAAATATAGTTTAATCTGCAGATTTTGTTTCCTTGAACATTTTATCTTTTTGGTTTTCAGTATGTCAGGTGGACTAATGTACTCATATATGACCTTCAACAAGAAACCATCTGGAAGTGACACAGGAGCACAAAAGCTGAAGCTTCAGATCTCCGAGGAATCAGCAGGAAAGTACTCTAAGGTCTAAAGGGATTTCACCACTTGGTGGCGCTGATCTGCTCCATATTGGAGCATGATATTACTTCAGCACTTATGTGCATTAATAAGCAAAAAAATAAAATCAATAAAATGCTTTCCAAATATATTCCAGGTTCCATCTATTTCATTATACTTTTACACAATGAACAAATGGACAAGGAAGGGGTAAATCCTGGGTCAGGTTCAGTGAATGTTTATTGAAGATCAACAATGACAGAACAGTGTGGACAGCCTGTGAGAGAAAATTTGTACTTTAAAACATGTAGTATATCTACCAAGCAAGCAGGATCGCCCTACACACTTAAATATGAAAACTGATGGAGGATGTTAGCAGTGGGGAAAACTGAAACTACAAATTAAAATTTCAAAGCTCTCTGTAAATTGTGCACTCGATATTCTAAAACTACATGTATATATTAAATGCCTTAATCTTTCTCAAACCGAAATATAAACAAAGGGTAAAATGCTTCCAGGTATATTCTAATTGGCTAGAATAAATCATTTGGTTTACTGATTATCAACAATCCACTTGGCTTCCAGTTTCACCATTACTTAAAAAAAACAAAATTCAAATTCGCTTGACTTCTCGAGTGACAGCTTTCTGGTGCAGGTTTCCCCTAAACAGAGGCAGGGCACTTGTGAAAGGCTTCTTACAGTGTTAAGAGATGTAGTGTTGCTTCAGGGGAAAAAAAACAAAAAAAATCCACTACACATCAGTTTATGATAAACAAGTGCCATTTCTTCTGGGCAAGGCAACCTAATATTCAGTGCATTGCAAACTTAATCCAAGACTTGATGGGGGCTCCAAGTACTTCATAAAAACCAATGAGTTTCCCAAATGTATGTTTTACAATCGTGGGACATTTTGTGTTGCAATATTTCCCTTTTATGAGTTAATCAAACATATGGAAAAAATGACTTGTAATGAGATACATACATAAAAAAAACTGCCACCCACTACTATGGTACTGTTCCCATATCAAAACTAGTCAGCCAGCTTTTAATATAAAAGGTGACTGACACGCATTGTAAAACATCTCCCACCTAGTTGAAAACACTTTTTGGTTTCGCAAACTTGTTACGAGGAAAACCACAAAATCTAAATGTTTTCCTGTGTTTAAAAACTACTTGGAACCTTTGAACACTGTAGAATCTGGTAGACTGTATTTAGAAAACGAGTGTTATGCTTGTCTGTTACTGTTGAGGAAAATAGTTACATGTATATATTTAGACAAGCGTCAACTGTAAAAATTTGAATTTTTTTTTAAGAGCTTGTACCTGATCAGACCTGCGGATTAGGGTTGCAATGATCACACATATAAAAATGGCCCGTGTCATATAATGTCAGACTTTTCCATCTTCCCTGACTTCCCTCTTGTCCACCTTTGCCCTTAAATAAAGTTGTACCTGTGAGGCAAAAAACTAGCTGAACCTTTCTCAGTCCATTTCTACTGCCACTGCTGTCATCAGTGGCAGTGAAATTGTGCTTATAGCACCAGAGATGAAACCTGGGAACATGGTGAGACGCCATCTGACAGTTGAACTCAACATTTCCTATGGCTGACCACACCCTGTATCATTCCGTCCATCTGAGCTTAATCCATATATACAGTCATACACACTCTTACACTCACAATATACTTAAAAAAAAAAAAAAAACTTGTTACCAAAGTGCAAACAAAACCAAAACATGATAGGTATCCTTTCTTTGCCTTTAGAAGACAGAAGAAAGAAAGACATTCTTCATATTGTCAAATCTACAATTATAGCAGCCTAAAAAGGATAAAATTGAAGCTGAATAAGGTGCTTTAGCTTGTGCCTTCCTGATAATGTGTGTGGGAACAGATACCTGTGTAACACTGATCTCAAGCCAATCCAGCTCTTTTACAAAGTCTGTTTTCACAACTTTACAGGAAAAAAACTAAACTACTTGTTGATCTGCATTGTAGGAAGAATTTTAGCGACAGCACATGTAACAGGAAGGCGGACTGGGATAGAGATACGAGGGCAGGGAATTGGGAGTCCGGGATGGGTGTTCGTTCAGGGAGACAGGTTGTTAGCCAGCTCGATGAGCGCCAGAGCGCCGTGGAGTCGCTCTCGTTGCTCCTGGAGGCGGCGCTTGGCTGCTCCTCCCTGGGTGCTCTTCTCCTCCTCTGCGGTCTCTTCTTCCCCGTTCTCTTCATCAGACTGGAGAAACTCCATTGGATCCTGCTGCTCCTGGTCCTGCCCTCTAGCCTTGCCCTGTGGCTTCACCTTGGTGGCTGTAGGGGCACGCTGCTCACGGGTTCGCCAGTACCTGCAATGACAAAGAGCACATTACCATACAATGTAAACAAAAAAAAAAAAAAGAAGCTATTTAAATGTGCAAATCTTCCTCACGGTCCAGCTTTTGTACATATGAGCCTACTTTCACTTACTTTGCCAGCCACTCTGCCACAGCCTTGTTATCCACAGACTGAGCCTTCCCCAGACCCTCCTTTGGTTCTTCCCTCTTCAGACGGGAGAAAGGATGCTTGGGGCAGTGCCGGTTAGCATGTGTAAACCGATTGCCACATCCTGCAGAGGAAGCATCAAGTCTGAATAACTGCAGAAAATGACTGGAGGTTTTTGTCATTTTTACATAGTTAAAATGTGTAGTGCACAACATTTTTGTGGGTCACTACTGTTATAAACAGTGCTTCAGTCTTCTTAGAATGGATTACTATTAATAAATTAATGAGTAATGATGTTTACTCAAATATGACTTTTTATAAGTCACAAAGCAACAGTAATGATTTTTAGGGTTAGTACATGAAATTACAGCAGACTGTTACACTGTCAGTTTCATTTCCCAGGTACTTTCCAAGTATTAGTTTAAGGCTCTAGTCAGTCATAGTAAATAAACCACATTTCATCTTAATGGAAAGTACCTTGAAGACACTAAAGGTGAAAACTTTCAGTTTGCTGTTTGTGATAATACATTTTTAAAAGGCTAACTGCATGGTCTTTTCTAAAAATAAAAAAATAAAAATAAAAAATCTACATTTCACACCCACCTTTCTCAGAGCAAACAAAGGGTTTTTCCCCAGTGTGCAGGCGCTGGTGGGTCTTCAGCTGTCCACTCTGGACAAATGCCTTCCCACAGTTTGGGTAGTCACACAGATAAGGCCTCTCACCTGGGGTGGAACAAGATAAGATATACTTTATTCATCCCACAAGTTGGGAAATTGAGGAGGGGGTGGGTTAGTTAGTGGAAAAACTGTGGTTACTTAATACTTTAGTAATTACTAGACAATGCTTTTAAATTCAGAACAGGGACCACATGGTTTCATGTTTTGTACCGTGACAGGTAAAGCACATGTATTAAAGCAATTTATAATGGGTCAGCAGACTTCTCTCACCTGTGTGTGTCCTCTTATGGGCCTGGAGAGACTTCTCTCTGGGAAACACTCGGTTGCAGATGTTACAACGGATACGGCTGGATGAAGTCTCCCCCTCGCTTATCAGCTCCCGGACTGTGTCCGCCCGTGGCCGGCCTCTGCGGATACCATCCTGACAGCGAGAACACGCAGAATCATTGCTCTGGCCCTATCAGACTTATCAAAGGACTCTGGATGAATGAACACGTATGGTGCAACAGCTTTGAGACAAAGCAGGGTATAATATGCCAAACCAAGGACAAACTGTTTTCACTGCTTCATAATCTAATACACTTATAACACTTGATTCACATAAAATACTCATTTATTGCATTTCATACAATGTATCAACGTGCCAGTCTGACTTCAATTAATTAGCTCACGTGTTACACTGTGAGCTAATTCACATCCGGTTACATTTTTGGCGCGCGACTACACGTCATATTGGAGCAGCTGCTCCAGATTCAGGAACTGGGGTTTAAAATCCACGGAGTCACACCCTAATGCGCGGGCGTTTTTTAAATGACTCTATATGACGCCATATTGAGGCCGACTCTGTTTTAAGTAATCATATTTCAAGAGAATATATAACTTTACAAGAAAAAGGTGTTCATTCTGATCGTGCTGTTCTGCTGTGATAACTATGTATGGGTTATTGCGCCTGTTATACACATGCTATATCCTTTCAGACCTGCTCTGGAGGTTCTTCAACATATCAATGAATTAAGTTGCAAATGCTCTTTTAGGCGTATTACACTGTTGTCAGCAGTCTCTGCATTAAAAATATTAAAGTATTAAAATAGTTAAAAAATACTTTCTGCTTTTAGGTTGCGCTCAGACATCCATACGACATCCGGCCATGCCACTTTTTAAAGAGTATCAAGACAAACTTTTATATAAGGGGTTTACCTTGATCTGCTCAGGTGAAGGAGCTGTGTCCGCTTCCCTGGCCGTCTGTGTCCCGGTAGGGGACGCGGCTCCACTCCCTGAGCCCGGGCTCAGGGTTACATTGTGGGCGTTCTCTCCCCACTTCCACGGGTAGACCATAAAGTCGCTAAAGCCGGGGCTTGTCGGAGTTATGGCCTCTGCTTTCCTGGGTTTAATCGGAGTGGTCTTGATGACGGACACCAAAACTCTTTTAGGCGAGTCATTGCAGAAAATAACGTGAGGGTGCTTGCTCTCAGCCATCGTTTGAGTGTCAAAATCCCGGTGTTTGATGCAAAAGCCGCAAAACTATTTTTTTTTTCAACAAGATAAACGAGCAAGTGTAATAAATAGTTTGCCTTCTTAATCTGGAGTAAATACTTCCTTCATTTCCAAAGAGTACAAGAAGAAGAAAAAAAATCTGATCCGCTCTCTGCTATAAAGTAACTACAAAAGTTGCAGGAATATGTGAAGACTGCGGTTTCTTTCCTTCTTGTCGCAGCAGGTCGTCTCAATTGACCTGTGTGCGCCCACAGGAGCGTTGTCCCGCGTTGCAAAATCGCGCCTGAGCAGTGCATCCTCCAATCCACTGCAGGCGTCGAACCCCACGTGTCAAAAGAAGCGAATGGCAGCAGCCATATGGCTCTACCTAGCCATTCTCCAGACCAGTAGGAGACGCGAAGGGCTCTGTGCACACTAATTGGCCGAAAAGCTTTTGTCCAATGAGATTTAAACACCTGATGCGCGCTCTCGCAGATTGACATCAAGACTAGCCAATGAAAGCGATTGTGGCCCACGTGTTAGCCAATGGGAGCGAAGGGCGGTTAATTTTTTTTTATATTGCGGATGAGCAGATGGCTCTTTTCCCGCGCTGAAGAATCTGTTTATGTTATTACATGTTTTTGTCGTTTTAAAGGGAAAGAAAACGGTGGTTCCGAGGCGCCAAAGTTACGTAATCACTGTAGGGCGGAAGTAATAGAACAAAGGCTTTATTGTGTGCGAGAAATGGAAACAGAAACTTAGAGTTATTTGAAATTTCATTATATTAATGCAATATACCTAAAGTGGTTTATCTGTTTAACCCAAAACCCTACTAAATCTCTAGATACTGTGTTCTTCAGATGATTTCATTTCTCCAGTAAAATGTAGTAAAGTGTGCTGTCAATCATCCGTTCCTGGCAGTTGTTGGAAGACGACCCTGCGCTGCTTTCACTGTCATCCTGTTTGTCGCCCATGTTTCAGTTACCTAGTAAAAAACAGTTTAAATACACTCCAGGGCACTGTCTTAAAAATAGTATAGTATGCCAAAGGGAGTGCAGATTTACTGCTGGATGAACACCATCCAGGCCATCCCGGACTATACACACTACAGACACCGAATTTAAATGTACTGATGCGGATTTTTGATTATTAGCTTTCGGTATTTGAGTGTCACACATCTGTTTTACTAAATATTGTGTGAGTTTCTTTCTTTCAAATACTCAAACAAAAACTGCTACTAGACTTGATAACATTTACACTCTTTCATACATTTCCTGCTATACATTAATACTGAAACATTGCACACTAACAACACAGACTTGTATATTCATTCTGCTATGACTACTGAATGAGGTTTCATTATATAAAATTACTTACTCATCTTGCAAAAGGGGGTAGGTGGAATTTTATACATTTTAATAGCTGGACTAAAGAGATCTGAGCATTATAATATTATACATATGTCATATGATTGTCTCAGTATGTGTTGCTTCAGTTCATCAAATAATCCAAGAAGTAAAATGAAGTTCAGTCTGAAAAAAAGTAAATAGTATAGACATTTCATTAAGGCTGAGGGTTTTGTATAGATTTGCAAAGTTACGAACATATGGTGCATGCAAATATGGAGAGTTTAATGCACGTGGTTCGCAAACTGTTAGGAGGGCCCCCCCTGGTGGGGTATAGAGCCACTACAGGGTGGATAACCAAAGGAAAGCTACATAAGAAATAGATAAATAAAATATAATTTATGTGGTGCTACCACACCCTTTTTTTCTGTATGAATAAGATTTAACTTATTTCCTTTTTTATTGCCAATGATTGCTGAAAAGTGTGAGGTAGAAGTGTGAAATTTTCAGCTTCTAGGAGCATGCCAAAAATGACTGAGATAGTGCTATAATGGGATATCGCTCAGATTCTCATGTGTAGCTTAGTGCCGCATGGACTAGGCATGCTTTCTTAACATTTTGTTTATGCAAAAGTATGACAAATGGACTTTTCTAGAACATTGCGTGCAATACACTGTTTTCACACAGTGCAGTGGCTAACACTGTTGCAAGAAGGTCCTGAGTTTGAATGCTGTCTGGGGCCTTTCCATGTGTAGTTTGCATGTTCTCTGGCTTTCTCCTACAGTCCAAAGATAGGCATGGTGTGATTCTAAATCGACTGTGTCTATGTGTTATCTCTGCAAAAGACTGGCACTGACAGGCTCCAGCCTCCCAGCAACCCTGAAATGCATAAGTGGAGGAAAACAGATGGATTGAATCTTTGGAGACTTGAGAAACCTTTCATAAACATTGTAACTCTATGCAAATGTTCCCCAAGTCTGTTCTGAAGGTTGCATTGTGAGCAATCTTTAAAAGTCAACTTTAAAGAACCCAGAACTCCAGTCTTTTTTGTGAAGTTTTGTGATAACTGTCAGTGAACATTTAGGGAACAGTCACAGGAGTTTCTGCAAGGAGTAGATCCCTATATAACCTGGGAAAGTTTTTTTTCTGGTAAAGCTGTGGATTGGCCACCATTTGCTACTAGTTACAAAAACTTATATACTAATGTAACAAATGCAATTACTAGCTACTTGGGCCAGAGGCAATTGCTGACAGTTATGTAGCAAAAATACAAGAAAATGTGAAGATTAACATTATTTCTTATAATGTCAGTTGAATTACAAAAAAACCCTGTTTTATGGCAGACCTAATGGTAGGCCTAATAAGCAACATTTACAATAGTATACATACAATAGTGGCACACTTCTAAGCTATGTATCCAGGAAGCTAAAAATAAAAGAATAAAAACAAGTATGGCTTCTCTAAGTAAATATCTATCAAGTAGATTGAAAACGAAAAACAAAAACAAAACAAAAAAACTTCGGTAAATGTTATTTGAAGCTTTCACAAAAATCGTTGAAGAATCCTGACTGTTCTTCAGAGGTTACACAACCTTCAGCCTGGTTGTTGGGCTGCGGTATGGATGTTTATTGATGCTCCTGTTTGGCTTTGATTAAGTTAGCTACTTTGGTACACCCCAGGCCTTCCTGAGGTTTGGCTACAATAATCAAATTACTGTTAGACCTGACAGGCAATACTGCCTACCTGCCTTGGAGGTAAACAGACACTGCCAGGTAGATAACAAACAGGCCTACAACAAAAGGAAAGGGGAAACACTTGCTTGCACAGTAACAAGACGTCGCTGTGCGAGTCAACTCGTTAACAAGCAAGTAAGCAACAACTAAGCTACCTAACTAGTGTCAACCCTCCCCCAAAAAGTAGGACCTTTATCTGACATTTATGCTAATGTTACTAGGTCTAAGCTACAGTCCATAATTACCCGAACATTATCGGTTAATGTTAGCTAACTGTAGATTAAAACCATTTTATACGTTTATTGAAGTTAATGCGCTTCATTAATTAAAGTGAACTGTAATGAAAGCTCACAAAATGGATAATATTTCCATATGTAAATTTGTCTTAAATGTTTATCTTTGTTTTTCGAATGCTTTTTGAGAGTTAGTGCCCCTTTAACTTCAGCCCCTGTGCCAGTTCCGACTCGTAGGCCTCCAGCCTGACTAAGCACAGAACCATCTCTGGCAGAGGAGCTGAGCCAAGCCTATGCAGAGCACGTGGGCGTGGTGTCGCTTGCATCCACACGTGCAAACATTTATTTAAAAGTGTGCCGAAATATGCTGGAGGCATTTGTTGGATGTTCACTGGGGCAGCATAGTTCCGACCGTCACAGCTCTTTTGTTCTAGCTGAGCTGGAAAACGGTGCTTATCTTTATTGTCTGATACTTGAAAGCTGTTTGATCATCTCGAGGAGGTAATTATTTAAACTGTTTTTTTTATTCATCATTAACAGGCTAACATGCTGCCGGACGCCTACGGGTGTGCTGTGGCGAACAGGTTCGGGAATCTTCTGGATGATGACACGGATCCTTTCGACTTGATCAACGAAGTGGAATCAGAAAAGACGAAGAAGAAAAAGAAGAAGAAGGAAGAGGAGGAGAAGAAAGCAAAGCAGAAAAAACCTGGTCAGAAGGAGTCCCAAAAGGACCGACGCCTCCCTATGGCCCTGGATGTTCAAGAGCCGGTTCCAGGTAAGTACTGCGACACACTGCACAAATCCAAACGATTCTGGCAGCTGCTGGGGTTTCCAGACGGGGTAGTCCAGCCAAGAGTGGCCAGTTTGCCTGAGCTTTGTCAGCTGGTAAAAATGCGTGGTCAGCGAGGTGCACATGTGCATGCTGTCAGAGGTGGTTATATCCCCACTATCCTCTGTGCAGAAAGCTGGGTCAAAGTGACGCTTGTCTAATTTTATAGATAATTCCAGAGGACATTTAAGTACATAGATTCAGCTATTGGACTGAACCTAAAAAATGGATTGGGAAGAGGAAAGCATGTTAAATTGTTGTTTTCCTCCTGTAAATGTAAGCTCAGTGAGGTTTGAGAGTATAAGTCTGATACTGAGAATTGCATTCAGAAACATAGTTTTCCCCAAATAGTGATTGCTACTTTATGACTCAGTTCAGTACGTTACCATCTCACTTTCTCCCTTCAGTCCGTAGGCAGCTGCCACGTCCTGCACCTGTGTCTGAGAGTGGGGAGGGCAGAGAAGAAGCCCAGAAGAAAGCTGCTGCTGGGCAGCGTAGGGCCAACCAAGAGGAACCCCCACAGGAGTTTTCAGTTTCTAGGTTTGCATTCCATGCTTAATAAAAATATCTTTATTTAACTGATGTCATATAAAAGATGACATACCCAGTCTTGATTAGTGTTTCAGCATATGATTACATATATAAACATTATTTCATACACTCTTACAGGAGCTTTTGTTGATTAAAAGTGCTCCTAATATTTAATGTCACCCAACAATGTCTAATTATACTATGGAAGCTTGTTTCTGCAACTATGCGGGGGGAAAAAACAAAGCATTTGTTTGCCAACCAAATTTAAATTTCAGGTTATAGCTTACCAATTCAGACTTCTGAGAAAAGAATTCTAAATTAAGAAAACAACTACATTTTAAGTTGAGATGCTAACCCAAAATTTGGACTTACTGATTGCAATAAACCCCTACCCCACCCCCTCTCATGGCATAAACAAGCTTTCCTAGGATACTGCTGTCAGCTGGGTTTGAAATGTGGATGTTGTCACATGAATAAACTGAGTTTTAATCTTCTTTTTTGGCAGGCCTTCCTATAATTCAGACTTTGATCTCAGAGGCAAAGGGGGGATCAAAGGTAGGAGAGCAGGAAGAGCTGGAGGAAATGCAAGGAACCCGGACTACTTTATTCTGAGGGGCAAGAGGGAATACGATCGGCACAATGGAACGTAAGTCTTTGTA